ACCACGACTGAGGTGCCCTTGAGCAAGGCACTGAACCCCCAACTGCTCCCCGGGCGCCGCAGCATAAATGGCTGCCCACTGCTCCGGGCGTGTGTTCACGGGGGGTGTGTGTGTGTGTGCGCACTTAGGATGGGTTAAATGCAGAGCACTAATTCCGAGTATGGGTCATCATACTTGGCCACATGTCACTTCAATCTGGCATCGTGTAATGATGTTGGTTCTGTTCTGTTTACCCTGGGGGGGGGGTTATCGCTGCTCTTCTTGCTCTCATCCATGCTCGGCTGCATGGATGCGCAGGGAGTTCTTGCCCAGAACAGAACCATACCGCCAATCCAAACTGTATGCTAATTGTGATCCTGACAGAATATAATATGGGCCTATGCAGGGGGCAGGGTAGATAACTTTTTTCTTGAATGGACAGTCTTCACAGAAACACATTCGACCTCCTACAAGGGAGAGAAAGATGTCCAAAAGCAGGCCAGGAAAAGAAGTCACATTCTTATCCATACAATCAAAACGTTTTGCTGCAAAATGCAAATACATTCCAAGCCACAATGTAAAAGAAGCGAAGTGAAATTCAAAAATGCGTTCTGTATGAATGGCTCCGAACGGTAAGTTCATTCAAATGTTTCATAGCTGTAATATTAGGCTACTAAGGAGCTTTCGTGTCCAAACAGACTTTTAAGGCAGGTTTTGGATCAAACACTATTTTTGTTATGCTGGTTGTCCCCATAGCAATCACTAAGTAGGTCAAAATATATGTATTACCGTATTGTCCCGAATATAAGACGATATTTTTTTCTTGGAAATACATCTGAAAAAACGCGGTCGTCTTATATTCAGGGTCTAGACTTTGACATGTCAATAATACACCCACAACAATAGGTGGCGCCTAATATGCATAAAACAAGTGTGCCATGAAATACGTAATGTAATGCGTGTTGTAAAGATCGCGAGTAAAAACAAAAGAGAAAGAAAACCTTACAGCTGCATGAGTCGTGACTGTCACGTTAGCCTGATGGGACCAAACTCTCTTTGTGATTTTAAAACGTAAGACAGTACCCAGATTTGAAGACTACAGTAAGATTTAACTTCTACTGTTAATAAGATTTTGGTAGGCTACTATTAGATGGATAGCCTAAATGCCCTAATTCAGATGGGCTACCTGTTTTTTTTTTTTTTTTTAATGGTATATCAAAAAGTTGGTAAATTTTACCAGTTTTTACCATACTTTCAAAAAAAAAATTAAAATAGGAAAAATATGCAATATGAAAATAAGTGAAGACAAATGTGTTTTACTGAGAAAAAACAAGATTTGGTTTTTAAAAAGCCTTTTTCCAAAAGGTACATCTGGAAAAGGGGGGGGTCATCTTATAGTCGGGCCAATATGGTATATCATCTGTGGAAGGCGGATCATAAAAAGTTCGTCCAATCACATCGCTCGGTCCGAGGGCTATGATAGGCTGTCCTACCTGCCTGTCAAGGTGTTACGTCGCGCATCCTGTTCGCGCAGATGTCATACGTCAGCAACGCGTTCCCGCTGTTGTTCAGATCGAGAGACAATGGAAGGCAAACAGGAGCTCGCCAAACAAATAAAACAAGAAGAAGAAGAGCAGCAGTGTCCTAACATCCCTTCTGAACCGACAAGAAGCGGCACAGGCAAACGCTCGAGAAGAAAAACAGTCTATGAAAAAGCTTTGACGAAAAGACGTCTGGAGCAGGAAAGAGCTAAAACCCGAGTTACCATCGGTGCTGCTTTTCCACGCTGGAGACAGCTGCGAGAGTCCAAGTGTCTGAAAACCGATGCCATGGTTGCACTTTTTCTTCTGGACAGGTAATCACACGGTTGTGTTTGCTTTTGATGTGTTTTGTTTGTAATGAATTATTTAGCTTAAGCAGTTTGTGTGTCTTTATGAATGAGCTCATTGCTAACAGCACCTAGGGTCTAAAAGGAAACTATTTTTATGTTTTCAAAGTTACGAGAAAAGTACAACATCCACACCTTCGGTGCATGAATTCATAAAGCCACCGCCAGAGGTTTCCACCGTTTTTTCTGAGTCTTCCTACGAACAGTGAGTACAGTGTCCTTTCTTCATTTAATAAAAATATCCTCTGCATCTTTCCAGGTAATGTTATTGTCCCTTTCGAAAATGGGCCATGTTTTTATTGTAGTAAAAGTGTAGTAGCCATGGTTTTTTTGGCGTATTGATTACCGTTTGTATAACCACAGTTTTACTACAAATGGTTAAACTATGGTTGGTGAAGCAAAACCATGGTAAATGTGTGGTTACCATGGTTTAACTATAGTAACCATGGGTTTTTGGTTTTATTTGTGGTGAAACCATGGTTAATTTTCGTAAGGGGTGTATGGCGTTCTTAGCAAGATATGTGTTATACACACACACACACACACATATATATATATATATATATAGCTAAAAATGTTTAAACTTTTCAGCCATCTTTAACTTTTTTAAATTTTATTTAAAAGTAATTTTTAAAGTATTATCTGTTTTGCATCGATCCTGATTTGTTTGGTCTTAAACCGTTCAATATTTTGTTTCATATCCAGTGAATGTTTAGTTAGGCTACTTTATGCATATGTCACAGGATAAACATTTAAAATGTCCGCAATGTTTTTAACGGGTCTGATGTGTTTTAAAATGTGGGTGAACGTACCTACATCCCCCATTAATAAGACTAGAGCAGGGATCTCCAAACCTGCTTCTGGAGAGCATCTTCAAGTAACTCTGAAGACCTTGATTAGGGTTTGAGCTGAACTTTGTAGGACTGTAGCTCTCTAGGAGCAGGACTGGAGACCCCTGATTAAGAGTAACTGAAGAAGAACTGTTCATGTCGAGTTAAAGTGGAATAAATAAAAATTATGAAATTGAAATCAAGTAAAACTTTTTTTTTTTAACTAATTCTCAATTTTTTTGTTTTGTTTACTATGCATGTTCTCTTTTGCAACATACAGGCCTGAAATCAAGTTTCTCATCAAGGAGGAAGAGGAGGAGAAACCTGCCTGTGAAATGAGTGTGTGTGAGGAGAGAGAGGAGGAGAAACCTGCCTGTAAAATTGAGTTTATGATGAGAGAGTAAGATGCTTCTGTTGGCACTCAGAGAGCAGCATCTCCGGGATGCAGCTGTGTGTTTCTATGAAGAGTAACAAATCTATGAATGATATTCCTCCTGGTCTCAGTGATGGACCTACTGTGAACTCTGGACCTGTGTGAGTATCATGTAGTTCAGGGCCCAGACTCTGTTGGTGCCATAGATGAAATATTATATTGGTGCACCGCCCCTAAAAACTGAAACACTGGAAATGTTTGTTTTTTTTCTAAATAAACTTCAATTTACTGCGAAAACACAACTTGTAAATCAATATTATACAACAAAATTACATAGCATGTAAGCATATAAAGAAGTTAACAATTTAAGATAATAAAAAAAATAATACATTTGATCAACAACAAACAACCTGCTCCAAATTGAACTCAAATAAGGATGCACAGACACATGCATATCCACTGTAAAACCTGAACTTTTGTGGAAACTGATTACCTCGAACCATTTAAGTAGCTACATTTTTTTAAGAAAACGATAATTATAAATTACAATTAAATCATACTTAAAAGTTTATATTTGATTTGATTTAATATTTAAGTGTACTGTACTTAATACCATTTACCTTACATGTAGTTTTTACATTTTTAAAAATTATTTTGATGCAGTAGTACTTGATTAAATACAAATACTAACTCAAAAAATACGTATATGTAACTCATAGGCTAATCATGCTGAAGTCCAGCTTAAAAAAACAATCCACAACTGCAGCTGTACAATTGAAGATTGTTTTATTCAGTCTTGTTTTAAAAACACTGTGATTGCGTGAACAAGTGTTTCTGAACATATCAAATACTCTGGAACAGTGGTTCCCAATCCTGGTCCTGGAGAACCCCCAACACTGCACGTTTTTGGTGTCTCTCTTATCTGACACTCACATTTGAGGTCTTGGGAGTCTTCACTAATGAGCTGATGAGTTGAATCAGGTGTGTTTGAATAGGGAGACATCTGAAATGTGCAGTGTTGGGGGTTCTCCAGGACCAGGATTGGGAACCACTGCTCTGGAAGATCATCATCCATCACAGCTGCGGTGCTTGCAGAACGTGTAGGGCTTTCATTGACAAGAGTGGCATTGATGTCTGGCTCATCCGACGACTTCACCTAGAATAAACACAGAGGGTCCAACTTTAAGATTAATTTACGAGATTAAAATTAGACAGTTGCATTTAATGATACATACTAGCAATTCTGTTAATGCACTGAATACTTGTATTTCTTGAAGAACAGTGGGTCCTCTTCACTAACATACAGCAGGAGAGCACGAAGGGCAACATTGCTTTTTCATCCTGGCATCATGTATGTCCTTCTGTGACAAAGCAAAAATGAACACATTAAACAAGCAAGCTAACTTCCTTGTATATACAGTAGGGCTGTCAAAATGACTGAAAAACTAAATTTGAATTTTCTACTTTCAATATAATCAAAATTCAAATTATATTCGAATTTAAAAGGCATAATTTCAGTTAGGGGGAAAAAAGCTTTTGGCTTCTCTCCTGAGGCCACAAAAGGGCGCATCGAGCAAAATATTATGCACATTTCTTCAAAGCTTAATAAAATAACACGACTATCTTTGGAAAAAAAGTGCATAATGTTTAAAATATAAACTATATATAATTAATAAAGTTGCTTAAACTATACAAGCATGCACAACAAGTGAATATCAATTAATGCAAGCAGCTGCTCAATTCGAGCCAAGAAAAGAGCTTGATCAGAAGTGCAAAATAAAGGCAATCAACTGCATTCATCAGAACATTTTAGGATATATCCTCCTCACTAGGATGCATCCTCCCGTGTTGTGTGTGAACGGCTCCATAGACTGCTCCAGCCTCATCACGTGCAGTTTGGGGCGGAACGGGTTCATGATGAAGTGAAACTGAAAGCGACTGTGTCACGCGCCATCTTCAGAGAACTCAAACTCAGAAAATGTCGTCGTATGTTACGGTAAGTTCGTTAAAATGTTTCACAGCTGCGATATTTTTACTAAGGAGCATTTGCGACGGAACTCAAGTCACATCGAAGTTGATCAATGATCTTTATTATCTCTCTCTTACACTAGACGGAAACTGTAACACATTGAGGCCTGGAAATGGTCAAACCTTCGAGCAATCTATTTTTCTTTTTATAGATTTTGACAATATTTTGTGGCTAACATCGTTTCAGATCGACTTTAAACGTTTAATATTTTGTTTCATATCGAGTGAATGTTAAATTATGCAGTTTGACTACGAAAATAAAGTAGCCTGCCTCACAGGATAATCACACAAACACGTAAAATGTCCACAATGTACGAGCCAGATGTGTTTTAAAATGTGGGCGACGTTTCTTATGCTGTACTACATCCCCGTTATTTAGAGCAATGATCTCCAACCCTGCTTCTGGAGAGCTAACTTCCTGCTTCAACACAACTTTAAGACCTCGATTAGCTGCTTCAGGTGTGTTTGATTAGGGTTGAAGCTGAACTTTGCAGGACTGTAGCTCTCCAGGAGCAGGACTGGAGACCCCTGATATATTAGAGTAACAGAAGGAGAACCGTTCATGTTGAGTTAAAATGGAATACATTAAAATAATCAAATAGAAAGTAAAACCCAATAATTTATTTTTAATCTAACTCGCATAGTCAATTTTTTCAAATTGTTTTCTTTTGCAACATACAGGCCTGAAATCAAGTTTCTCATCAAGTGGGAAGAGGAGGAGAAACCTGCCTGAGAAATGAGTGTGTATGAGGAGAGAGAGGATGAGACTACTGTTGACGCTCAGAGAGCAGCATCTCCAGGATTCAGCTGTGTGTCTATGAAGAGTAACAACTCCATGCATCTGCCCCCTTTTCTCAGTGGTGTTGACACTCAGAGAGCAGCATCTCCAGGATTCAGCTGTGTGTCTGTGAAGAGTAACAACTCCATGCATCTGCCCCCTTTTCTCAGTGATGTTCACACTCAGAGAGCAGCATCTCCAGGATTCAGCTGTGTGTCTGTGAAGAGTAACAACTCCATGCATCTGCCCCCTGAACTCAGTGATGTTGACGCTCAGAGAGCAGCATCTTCAGGATTCAGCTGTGTGTCTATGAAGAGTAACAACTCCATGCATCTGCCCCCTTTTCTCAGTGGTGTTGACACTCAGAGAGCAGCATCTCCAGGATTCAGCTGTGTGTCTGTGAAGAGTAACAACTCCATGCATCTGCCCCCTTTTCTCAGTGATGTTCACACTCAGAGAGCAGCATCTCCAGGATTCAGCTGTGTGTCTGTGAAGAGTAACAACTCCATGCATCTGCCCCCTGAACTCAGTGATGTTGACGCTCAGAGAGCAGCATCTTCAGGATTCAGCTGTGTGTCTATGAAGAGTAACAACTCCATGCATCTGCCCCCTTTTCTCAGTGATGTTGACACTCAAAGAACAGCATCTCCAGGATTCAGCTGTGTGTCTATGAAGAGTAACAACTCCATGGCTATTCCCCCTTTTCTCAGTGATGGATCTGCTGTGAACTCTGGACCTGGGTGAGTATCATGTCGTTTAGGGCCCACACTCTGTTGGTGCCCTAGATGAAATATTATATTGGTGCACTGCTCCTAAAAACGGAAACACAGGCAATGTGAGTTTTTTTTTTTTTTTTACTACTGAATTTATTGCAGAAACACAATGCTTTTAACCAATCAATATAACAATCAATCATACAACAATAATCAATAATACAACAATATTATATAGCACACAATGTTAAGTAAATGATCCAAGATGATAAATTATAAATAATACATTCGCCCAACAACAAATACCCTGCTCCAAATTGGACTCAAATTGGGACGTATAAACACACACACACACACACACACACACACACACACTTGCATTTGTGGTTTACAGGGACTCTCTATAGGCGTAATGGTTTTTATACTTTACAAACTGTACTTTCTATCGCCCCCTACACCGACCCTACACCTAAACCTACCCCTTACAGAAAACTACAGGCAATTTTTTTTATTTTATAAAACACAGTTTTGTATGTTTTAAGCCTTTTGTTTTATGGGGACACAGGAAGTGTCCTCATAAACCATGTTTATGTTGCAGTACCCATGTCATTATACACATCTGTGTCCTCATAAACCATATATACCAGTACACACACACACACACACACACAGACAGATGTTGGCACTCATGCCTAACCCTCACAGAATTTTTTTTTCCTATCTTTACATTTCCAACAAAACATTGTTTTATATGTATTTGTCCTCCTAATGTAGTTGAAGCCAGGTGTTCCTTGTCATGTAATTGGTGTATTTCAAAGACAGTTTGAAGGTGTATAACAGCGGATGCAAAGCTTTACAAAAAGTTTTCTCTGAGAGCTGTTTTGAATCACCAAAACGAACTTAATTTTGACCACATTTTGTTTGAAATTATTTCAAACCGGTCTTTATAAATAAATGTTAGTATGAAAGTTTTAGTGAATCATGATTTGTTCATGAAGACGTTCATACATAGGTTTCACAGTACACATGTTTAGTGAATGTATGGAGTGAATTTTGTGCCAATATTCATCAATCAAATCCAGCGTTTTGTATTAAACACAATCTGCTTTGCAAAGAAAAACTCGACTTTCAAACAAACGCAAATATAAAACTCTATTTGAGAGAAAATGCAGAGGTATGGACAAATATATGTATTGTGTGTTACAACTGTGAGACTCATTTGCCTTTTTATGAGGAAACTCGCTTGATTTTCTCACAAATGCATGCAGGCAGATTTTCTCACAAATCCAATTGAGCAACTTTCTTTTCCAAAAACAGCAGATTGCACTGTCGGTCAATTTACACTAGTCTCCCGAGACCTGAAACGCCTGTTTACTTTTTCAGGGAATACAGCAGACCAACATGAGTGGGGAACAGGTGAGTTTCTGTCTTACTATATCTATAATTAACCATTTAGATGTTTTCACAAAGCGACCCTACTACAGTGTCAGTGAAATTCACAATAAGTGCTGTAAAGTTGTTAACATGATTGATTAGTTGAAAAAATCAGTAGTGACATGGCTAAACATTAAACTAGACAGTCTTTCCCTATAAAACCTGATCCAGTCTCCGTACCTCTTATCCTCTGTTGGATCGCGGGATATAGAATATATACATATGTTGATACACTTGTTCAACATTCAAAACAATGCAGGGGTATAACAATATATCGTGTCACAATATATTGTAATACTAAAATGCAAATGTATTATGGATAGCGACGATATTGTGTACCAAAAATGAAAGCTTAGACAATTTAATTTAGTATGAGATATAGTAATATCACCCAAGAGGTCATTAATTGTTAATATAAAATTGAAAACAAATCACATTATTTAGTACAATATCTAAAACCTTTTAAATGTTGTAACACTGTGCAATTATTTGTGTCTAAAATAATTATGTATTTTTTAACTACGCAAAATGATGAATACTTGATGAATACTCACTCTTGTCCTGTGAATTGGGGATAAGGCTCAAGTTCACACTGATGTAATACTAAATTCAGCATTTTAATAAACAGTGGTTTACCAGTATTTCAGAATGATTTTAACAAAATGTGGTTTACCAGTATTTCAGAAAGATTTTAATAATGTAATGAATAGAAAATAATCTTTGGGGTCGAAGACCACGCCGGCACGTTTTGTCACATTTTCTTGATGACCACGAAAATAATTAAAAATACAGATACGAGTATGGCATCATTTGAAACTGCAAAGGGTCTACTTTTATTTGTGTATAGTCATAATAACAACAAAACAATGTGCTTTTGAAAAAAAAGAAGAAAACAAACAGGGTGCACTCTCTGCCGCCTCGGTCTCCGGGAACTTTCTTCACAGGCACATGAATAAAACAACCTGAATCTCAGTGAATATGTGCCTCACATACATGATACATATATGTATAGAAAGCTTGACATGTCTACTTATAAAAACAATTCAAATTGAAAATGAATAGTCTCTGATTATATAATCCGTATAAAAGTAAGGAGAGGTAAAGTCTCTCCGGTCTCACCTCATTATCGTTAATGTGATCCCGCCTCACACTGAGCGCTCTGTTCACATGTTAATGATCTGAGGTCAGCCAGGTAAATATGTAGATGCCTCTGAAAAATGGCATCAAAACATCAAGCTTCATCATAGAATTTAGCCTACTTTCTTTTTCTGTGTGTTGGATGATGGCACGCTACACGGGTGAAGACACACTTTGGACAGCGAGGACTTCTCGGAGTGACTCAGATGACGAACGTTTGCATTTTGAAGAGCCACTAATATAATTCCTGAGAGTAGCCATTTATTCTTAACTTCATGAGTTAAAATGTTGCTCGAGGCTGCTTATGTTGAAGTGTTTGGGATGTGGCTTTTAATGATGAGACCTTTTTTGTAATCAGGCTCTCAAAAAGTATATAACAATTTGGATATAGATTTATCGGCCAACATATCGGTTATCGGCTTTCAAAAATAAAGAATAATCGGTTATCGGTATCGGCCAAAATTTTCATATCGGTGCATCCCTATCGGCCATATATATAAAGCTACATATTTTTGATTGGATTTTTCCAAACAGGCTATTGTCAGACTAAAATCTGCCGGTATATTGGTTGAAATATGAAATATCTCCTTACAGGCCACTTTTAGTTTTAAATGTTGTACAGTGCATGTATATAAACTATGCTATATATAAACATAAATATGATAATAAACTACGATATCCCTTATGAAAGTTAAAGTTGGTTTTACTATATAGTAAAAGTGTGGTAACCATGTTTTTTGTGCAGGTGACCATTTCTATAACGGCAGCTTTACTACAAATACCATGGTATTTATTTAGTAAAACCATGGTTAATTTTTGTAAGGAATATTAATGTTTAGATTATATTTTGGCACATTTATATAGCTGAATCACAATAAAGCTCACCTGAACTTAAACTAGTTTGATTATAGTAGCCTATTTGTATAATTAGATTAACCTACGCCTTTCAGTAGGTTGTCTATGTGTAGTTTTATACTTGTTTAAACTTTTACTGCAGAGGTAGCCTATAACATTTCTCTCCACTGTAGGCTATGTCTCAACATATATAGCAGAATGACAATAAATCTTACTTGACCTAACATAAAAATAAAATTCAAAACGCTTTCATTTTTGGTACACAGTTGACGCCATCCACAATACATTTGCATTTTAGTATTACAATATATTGTGACACGATATATATTGTTATACCCCTGCATTGTTTTGAATGTTGAACAATTGTATCAACATATGTAGCCTATATATTCTATATGCCGTGATCCAACAGAGGATAAGAGGTACGGAGACTGGATCAGTTTTTATAGGGAAAGACTGTCTAGTTTAATGTTTAGCCATGTCACTACTGATTTTTTCAACTAATCAATCATGTTAACAACTTTACAGCACTTATTGTGAATTTTACTGACACTGTAGTAGGGTCGCTTTGTGAAAACATCTCTAAATGGTTAATTTTAGATAAGGTAAGACAGAAACTCACCTTTTCCCCTCTCATGTTGGTCTGCTGTATTCCCTGAAAAGGTAAACATGTGTTTCGGGTCTCGGTGGACTAGCGTACAACTCACAGTTGTACTACACAATACGTATATTTGTCCATACCTCTGCATTTTCTCTCAAATAGAGTTTTGTATTTGCAAATCACTTTGCGTTTGTTTGAAAGTCGAGTTTTTCTTTGCAAAGCAAATTGTGTTTACCTGCAAAACGCTGGATTTATTTGATGAATATTGTCACAAAATTCACTCCATATGAATGAGACCCAGTGTAGGTGAGTCATAAACCTGGTGAGGGCACTTCTCGTCTGGGCAGCTGCTGATTCTCCTGGCGACTGTTCCTTTGGCATGGCCACATGCCTATCATATTCCTAAACAACTCCTGCACATACGCCATTAGATAAAACATAGGCAATATCTTTTTCCTTCAAGGTTGAGCTGTAGCACATCACTGAGCACAGAGCATACATGATTCAATGTCAGAGTTTAACATATAGCAATAAATGGTGCTATAAACCCAAAAAAGAATAATAAACATTAAGCATTCAGTATGTAAGAGTTAGTGGAGGCATGTATTGCGTTGGTCTTCACATGTCTCAAACAGCTATCACGACAACCACATAAAAAAATAAGAACAAAGTTCAAACTGATAACCTATAAAATATAACATTTGATTATATAATGATTCAGGCCACGTTGACACGACAATGTTGTAGTCGAAAACTGAAAAGTTTTTCCCTTGCATTTTTAAAAGTTTCACGTATACACGAAGTTTTCAAAATGATTACACATATCTGCGAAAATGGCCAAAAACGCTGTAGTACGTATGCCAGGCCAGTAGTTGGCGCTGTCACCTTGTTAGTAAACACTACCTGTAGGGAACTGACGATTATATGTTGTACTGTATATGATGCGTCTCCGCTGTTGGTTGTAATATTGGTGAAGTAAATCCAAACTTTGAAGAAGCGT